CTTTTTTCCCCAGAACACTGACCTGATTAACTCTGGTCGCCAGCTTGCTTAAAAGATCACGAGTCCATTGTGTAAATGTAAATTCTACACCTACTGACATTTTCAGCTCTTTCTCTCAGGAGTAATTAGACTATATAGTTTCTCTGGATAATTCCAGCACCCTTCTCTCACCTATCCAACCATATTCTACCCTTTACCTCTTTGAAAAAAGCTTCTTATCCCTTCTGCCTGTTCATTCTATTTCCAATTGTGCCTCATCCCGCCCTGCTTTCTCTCTGTTTCTCTATGCTCCTCAACCAGCACTGCATACACACGGCTATTTAACTGTAGCTGGGAAATCCAGGTATATGCTTTAAACCGTTCTTTGTCCATCGGTTTTCTTCTTTTTTCCTTTTCTTTTCCCCTTTTTGACCCTTTTATGTATTTTATACTCCCTATTATTCGCCCTCCCTCTTCCGTCTTTTCTCTTAACTTTTTCGTTTTCCTTCTCGCTTTGCATGTTAGTTGAATTAGCCTGTGCGTTTGTGTGCTCCTGCTCCCTGTGTGTTTGTCTCTCTGTTTTCTTTTCCAGGGCTACCTCAAGAAACAAGCTAGAGTGCACAAGGTGGAGAGTCCCAAATATCACTACGAATAGGAAAATAAAATAACCAAGGTCCCAACAAGAGAGACCGAGGAATACCATTCAAAAAACAATCTCTGAAAGGATAGGCCCTGGAAAGTCAAAGAGTCTTCTTGGATATAGCAGCGCTCATAGAAACAGAGAGCATAACAGGTCTTTAAAACCAACAAGAGCCGGAAAGCTAACTAAAATGACGAAACGAAAGACCTCTCCTCCATAGAATGTCCTGTAGTCTACCTCTACAGATTCCAAATCTCTGGTGAATGTTTCAGCATCTTCATCTACATTAGCATTTTGTTACTTTTTTGAACATTTTAATAACAATTATCTAAAATCGTTCCTACCAATTTCAATATTGGAATCATCTTACATCTATTGCCTGGTTTCTTTTTGCTCTGACATTAGCTACAAGATCTTGGGTGCTCACATATGTTGTAAATTAGGGTTTTATGTCCATCAATATTAAAAGAACTGCAGTCTTTAAAAAATGTTTTCATCCTCAAGAGGCCACCCTCTCCATACTTAACAGACACTATGGGATTTAATCTTTTCAGGGTCAACTCCTTAAGATCAGGATTTAAACTGTATTAGTCCTTGGCTATAATTGTATAGGACTCAATCTACTTCTAGTTCTCCCCTGTTGTTAAAAGTGTGGTCCTTTCAAACTTTCAATTATCTGCCTTTTGAGCATTTGCTTTTTCAGGTCTATAACACTGCAAAGATTCAATTTTATCACTCAGAGGTTTTAGTTTATCTCTTTAGTCGTCTACCATAGGTAGACTCAAAAAAAGACAAATGTTTTTAAAGAGGAGACTGGCCATGAAATTAAAAGACTTTAAAGTCTCCAATATTCTCATTTTGATCTACTATAAGTCCAAAATTACCTTCTGGTTTCAGTGTTCTGGAATAGCAGCATTTTCCACGAGCTAATCCTAGGTTCTCAGCTTCTAACTCTGCCTGGAACTGATAAATGTGCCCCAGGGAAAAGCAGCTGCAGAAACTGTGTCAATGCATCATTTTCTGTAGGGTTTTGCATCTTGCCAGTTTTATTTGCAACCTCCTCCCTTTAGAGAGTTTTTGTCTTATGCTCTTGAAAGTCTGTGATAAACTTCATTCTACTTTCAGAGACTTTTGAATCATTCTGTAGCATCCAGCACTGTCTAAAATTCAGCAAATACCTTGTATTAAAACTGAACTTCTTTAGGTCCATTAGATCTAGAATTTTATCACTACAATGTCCACAACCACGGAAAGTTTTGTTGGTTTATCTTCTTCCATCAGCCACTCTTTGTGTGGTCAAATGCACAGTCCTCAGATTTTACTCTAAATCAAGAACTGTCACATGTTTGCAGAATTAAGTAAATTAATGAATAAAAGAAAGGTAGGAAAGAAGGAGAGAGGGAGGGAGGGAGGGAAGGAGGAGGGAAGAGGGGGGAAAAGAAAGGAGGGAAAGAAAAATGTGAACCCCTAGCTTATACCTCCTGTCAGACATTTTATTTAGGTTAGTTTTGTTGCTGTTGTGACCTATTACATGTTTAAAAGTATAACTTAAAAAAATATTCATCTTTCTAGTTACTATCAGTGGAAATGCTGTTTTACTTCAATATACTACATTTTACCTGGAAACAAAACCCAAACGATGATTTCTATTTTAATATTTTGGTTATTTCTACTTTAATACATTTTTTAATTTAATGTTTATTTATTTTTGAGAGACGAAGACAGAGTGAGAGCAGGGGAAGGGCAGAGAGAGAAGGAGACACAGAATCTGAAACAGGCTCCAGGATCTGAGCACAGATCCCAATGCAGGGTTCAAACTCACACACTGTGAGATCATGACCTGAGCTGAAGTCGACGCTTAACTGACTGAGGCACCCAGGTGCCCCTTATTTTAATAAACTTTTAAAGTCAAAATAAAAAGTGTAACATTCCTATTTGAATTTTGCAAATATAGACAGGCTCAGAGGATTCCCTGATCTAACCTATCATATACTGTAACATGAGATAGAAGTTGTGTTGTTGCTTTGATGTAAACCTAGGGAGACTACCACATATTGTTGTTTATCTAAAAGTGTAGTCTTACATAATTATTTTTAAACATCAGATGGTATGCTGGAATAGAACATTATATATGTCTCAGACATGATATCTGAGTATTCTGTTGGGAAAATTAGAAAGAAAACTTTGAGATTAGAAATTCATTAGGTTTATTCCTAGATGGCATATTGTTTTTGGTGCAATTATAAATAGGATTGATCCCTTAATTTCTCTCTCTGTTGCTTCATTATTGGTATATAGAAATACAACAGATTTATGTACATTGATTTTGTATCGTGCAATCTAACTAAGTTTGTCTTTCAGTTCTAGCAGCTTTGTGTGTGTGTGTGTATGTGTGGAATCTTTTGGACTTTTTATATAGAGTATCATATCATCTGCAAATAGTGAAAGTTTTACTTTTAATCCTTGCTCATTTGGGTGCCTTTTGCACTGTTGGTGGGAATACAAACTGGTGCAGCCATGGTGAAAAGCAGTATGAAGATTTCTCAAGAAGTTAAGAACAGAACTACCTTATGATCCAGCAATTGCACTACTAGATATTTACCCAAAGAATAGAAAAATACTCATTCCAAAGTATACATGCACCCAAATGTTTATAGCAACCTTATCTACAATAGCCAAATTAGGTAAACAGCCTAAATGACCATTGACTGGTGAATGGATCAAGATGTTACACTCAGTCATAAAAAATGAAATCTTGTCACCATTTGCAACGACATGGCTGCATTTAGAGATAAGTCAGTCAGAGAAAGACAAATAACATGATTTCAATCACATGTAGAGTGTAAGAAACAAAACAAACAAAAGAGGGAGTAAAAGAGAGAAGAAGGCAAACTAAGAAACAGAGTGTTAACTATAAAAGACAAACTGATGGTTACCAGTGGGGAGGTAGGTGGGGATGGATTAAACAGGTGATGGGGATTCAAGAGTGCACTTGTGATTAGCACCCAGTATTGTATGAAAGTGTAAGAATCACCGTATTGTACATTGAAACTAATATTATACTGTATGCCAAGTGAATTTTAAATTTAATCTTAAAAAATAACATATATATGTATAAAATAGAAGGATAAATTCATTAGACTTTCCAACAATTTCAAGGGGATAAAGATCTTTGATTCTAGAAAGTTCTTCCTGTTTATATAAAAAGAAATTTTTGTATTTGAAAATATTTATAATTGAAAAGTGTTACTTAATATGCACTATTTTGATCAAAATATACCTTTAGAAACCCTAAATCATTGATCCTTCCTACATTTATTTGCCTACCCTTTTATTTTATAATTTGGTGGTTCTACTCCACAAAAAGACGATGCTTTGTTGCAACGATCAACCGTATTGTTTCTTATCTGATGTTAGCTGTGGACTTGTCCTAGGTGGTCTTTATTTGGTTGAGATATGTTCCTTCCATGGCTAATTTGTTAAATCCTTTGTCATGAATGGATGTTGAATGTGGTTGTCACTTTTTAAGTATGTTTGGCTAAATCAATCACCAGAAGAATTCTAACAATTGTATAAGCCTGACCTCTTGACAGTTAAAACCTATTTTGCCCATTTGAAAGTTAGTGATGCCCAACCCTTTTGAGTAATTACAACATGATTATGCTCACCATAATCTAAGTATTTTAATTATTCTTTTATCTTATATTATTGTATATGCTTTTATCGACATTTTCAATTTTATGTTGAAACATCCTTAATCTTTTATTAGAATTCAGTGCTTTATGAAATGAAAGCTATTACATGTTATGTAATCAATGAGAACCAAGCACATATATACACTCATAAAAATTCAGATATAACAAAAACAAAAACCCACGAACATAAATCAAAATTGATTTAAATTTGATTAAAAAATAAATAGTTCCATGAAGGTAAACATTCGTGAGATTCATGTTAATGTAAAGAAGGTGTAGAACAAATAAATGATCTCTGTATTTTTGTCTCACTAGTGAAACCCAGGAGCTATTAGAAAAAGCTAGAGATATATCAGAAAAATCAGATGATAAATTCTTGTATTGAGGAAGGCAAACGCTTTCTTTCTTAAATGACTCATACATCAGTTCAAGAGCAGGCTAAGTTCTAGTGCCGAAAGTACATAGCAGTATCCAAAGCACAATATATGTTTTCAGCAAAATACAGAATCATTGGTACTAAAAGTGATACAGGTGTCTATTTGAAGTAGTAATATTAGAAATCAAATAAAAGGCTTTCCAATTATGTAATAGTTCTTCCAAAAAGATAAAGTAGTAATTTCAGTATAGTAGTTACTGTTTTTTTATTTTTGGCAAAGTTTAAGTGTTAACATTAAAACTTATCTTACCTGATTCCTCAAAGTCACCGTTGTAGGCTTTCCAGGTTTCAGTTATTCGAAGAAGGTTCTCTTCCATGGCTTGAATGTCCATGGAGGGGCAGTTGCATTCTGGAAATTTGGGACCACATTGACACCAGCAATCATTTTCCTTGCAGATAAATTCTCCCTCTGAATTGCAAGCGATGTAGCTCAAAGCTGCTTGTACAAAACGCTCCTGAAGATAGTCTGGAAGGAGAACTTGCAGCCCTTTAAGAACAAAAAAAGCAGGTAAGTATTTTTTTTTGACAAAGTAAAAAGGGATAATGTATATTTAAAATATTCAAAAAAGGCCACCAATTTAATATATGACATGAGTTTAAAGCAATCATTAGAAAATTATCTAAGACCAAAGAAAAAAGAAAAAGGAAAGAAAAAATAATCTAAGCCTACAAAATTTCAAATACTTGTAATTCTTTTCAACAAACATTGACTGTGCACTGTCCAAGAACCCCAGAAATGATAGAGGTGTTTAATCCCTCAAATTACCTGATTTTTAAAAATTTATTTAATTGGCTCTTTTTTTGAATTAAAAAAATTTAATGTTTTATTTATTTTTGAGAGAGAGATAGAGACAGCATGAACAGGGGAGGGTCAGAGAGAGAGGGAGACACAGAATCCGAAGACAGGCTCCAGGCTGTGAGCTAGCTGTCAGCACAGAGCCCGACGCCGGGCTTGAACCAGGAAACGTGAGATCATGACCTGAGCTGAAGTCGGACGCTTAACCGACTGAACCACCCAGGTGCACCTAAATTTAAGATTTTCATTTGAATTCCAGTTAGTTAGCATATAGTGTCATATTAGTTTCAGGTGAACAATATAATGATTCAATAATTCCATACATCACCCAGCCCTCATCATGACAAGTGCCCTCCTTGATCCATATCACCTACTTAACCCATCTTCCTCACCTCCAGTAACCATCAGTTCAGTTCTCTATAAACAAGACCCTACACTGCCCTTGCCCTCCAAGCTCCCTGCCTGTTTCCTGTATGGCTTTACATGGTCCTTCTACTTTCTGTGGCCTGTGAAACTAGTCTCTAATAAACTCTTAAGGATATTAAAAAGAAAAAGAAATTGTTCCAATACATCAATAGATAAAGAAAATAGGAAATGAAACAGTTTTATGAGGTAATATCTTTAAGTTTTTACTATAAGCAAAATATAGTGACCTATCATTAAATCCCCTATTTGATAATAAACCAATCGTCTGTCAATTTTGTTGAAATAGAACATTAGGAACCAACTGATCTGGAAATGTATTTGTTACTCAATCATGAATCATTCACATCTCAGTTTCTGGGAATTTTACCAAAAAGTTATTACCAAGATTTAATAAATGACTTTTCATTACTCTTTTACCCTTTCACTCAGAAATACTTTGTTTGACATATTAAATTAATAAGAAGTTGGAAACATCGGAATATTATTAATGTCATTAATATATTAATATGAATATATTAATAGTATATTTTCTAACACTTTCTTATGAGTTACTCTTTGTTATATATTACAGTTATCATCATCAATAATTCGGAGTTTTAGGTATGGCTTTTTCAATTTTTGAACGGTCTGTTTGTAAGCTAATTGGTAAAGCCAGATCTCAAGGACAAACACACAGGTAAACTTAGCTTCCTCACTGCCAGAAACATTTGACTTCATTTTTTTTAGGTCAAAATTAATGTACTGTGTGCGTCTCTTGGACATCTCATTTCAGAATGTTCATTCTAATATAGTTAGGTCATGGAGTTTTGTTCTGAATTTGTTGCCTGATGCTTTTACTTTGAATAATTCTTATTGATGCTTTCCTTGCTCTGATAAAATTCTACTTTGAGACACCAGCTTTTCCACTTGTAACATATAGTGACCTAAAATCTTTTATACCCTTCAAAGGAATGTATCCTGGGAATGTTGATCCAGAATCAACTAATGCTTTGCATTTTGTTTAAGTGGAGAAGGGCTACTATTAACGGTGAAGTTGAACAGATAAAGCAACATAAATACTTGGACTCTCAATATAGATGAAATTTGCAAAGAACACATAGGAAGTTGAGGATTTTGATATTAATTTCCTGAAATTATCTTGGAAAGTTCTTTGCACCACTGGGGTACACATAACATTGAGATAGACATTTGAAAATAGAGTCTTGAAAAATAGAAGAGGCAAAAAATAGAGATACAGGTTTCTGCATTAGTAACAGAAATGGAAAAAAGTAGAAACAATAATTATTCAAAAGAGAAGCACTGTTTCGCTTAGCACAATTCGCTGTGCTAATTGTTCTCCAAGACAGATAAGAGGTTGAAGCTTTGCTTTCATAATATAAATTCTGAAAACTAAGCACAGTGATTCACAAAAAGCAACAATTAATGACTCATGTTAAAAAATAAATTTCAATAACAAATCAATAAAAATATTTCATATAAATATTCTGAATCCTTTTCAATTAAACTTAATGCTCTGATGGCTTATTAATCCACACATTTAGAAGAGATTAAGCAGTAGAGAATTACACTTATTTGGACAGCATTTGTTTAGATAAGAAAAACATATTTCAATAACTTTATATCTAAAATTGATAATGAGAAATTTGATGGCATTTAAAGTTAAAATTTTGGGGGGCACCTAGGGGGCTCATTTGATTAAGCGTCCAACTTCAGCTCAAGTCATGACCTCACATTTCGTGATTTGAGTCCTGCGTCAGGTTCTCTGCTGACAGCTCAGGGCCTGGATCCTGCTTCTGGATTCTGTGTCTCCCTCTCTCTCTCTGCCCCTCTCCCACTCGTACTCTTGCTCTCAAAAATAAACATTAAAATTTTTTAAAAATTATTAAGTATTTTATATACAATTGAAAAGAGATGAGATTCATTTATTATTTAGGGTAAATTTAAATAACCCAAAGCTATTACACTTTCCAAAATTGAAATGTTGAGGAAAAATGTCTGGATTTTTGGAATTTTTAAGCATTGTTATGTAAAACTGAATAATGTAAATGCAGCTTTAACTTATGCAGTTAAAATTTTAAAGGAGACAAGAGGAAAGGAAGACTAGAGTATAAATGAAAATTGATCAAGTTGATCAGTCAATCCAATTTAGATAATTTGTCATCACAAGGCTTTTATGAACTTTTTCAACTAGTATGTGTTTAAAAATGTGTATTCATAACCTTTCCTGCACATATAAATAAATACACATGCCAATGACCCTTTTCAGGACAGTATATAATGTGTTACAAGTTACTTAAAAGCCTTCTATTGAATTATCTTACAAAATATAGCAATAGAAAACAGAAGGTAAATTATTACCATTATTATATTATCCTTTACAATGGAAGTAAGGCAAATATAAATATTTTGTTAATATATTCTTAAATAAGCGTCTATGTATCAGAAGACAAATGCAGTTCTATGTACCATATTAGGTTATGTTTGTTTGTTTGTTTTTAAAGTTTATTTATTGACTTTGAGAGAGATAGAGACAGTACGAGTAAGGGAGGGGCAGAAAGAGGGAGAGAGAGAGTCCTAAACCATGGGACTCAAATTCACAAAACTATGAGATCCTGACCTGAACCAAAACCAAGAGTCAAATGTTTAAATATTAGGTCATCCTTAAAATGTCAACAGTTCATGCTACTCCGTGGGTAGATATGGTTACAACTTTTACTAAAATCTATAAGGAAAATGTCAAAACCCAGACAGACCTATGAAAACGTAGCTACATATTGAGATAAAGATTACTGTATGGAAGTAAAATATTACCACGATAAATTTTCAATTACAACAGATTACCTAATTTAAGAAATAAAGTGCATTTTAACATATCCTTCATCTGGCATAGAATGTTATTATCAATACAAAATAGTAAATTAACATTTTATGAGTATTTTAACAGCCTAGTGCTGCTTGTTAGAAGAAGAAGAAGGAGAGGGGGAGGAAGAGGAGGAGGAGAAGGAGAAAGAAATCTCAACTGGATAACTGTTATCCAGACTTGTAGAGAATTAATGAAATTTTAGCTACATACCTTGCAACTGAATCTTATTCTCAGGACTCTGAACCAGAACAGAACTGACAGAATCTAGGTTGTCATAGTTACTGCAGCCAAGAGGACCAGTCCGTGTTTCTGTTACCTGACAAACAAAACATCAACTTTATTATATAAATCAGGCTTTACCATGTTCTTTTAGCTCAATGTAGTTGTCACACACAGATATTATATGTTTGACAGTAAACATCACTGAAAGGCATAGGATCGGATACATACCAGCAATACATACACCTAAGCACAGAGAAGACAAATATCTCCCTTTGTCTTCAATTCCATTCTCTTTCCTTTGGCTAGGCATACATCTTCTGGGAAAATAATAGAAGCCCTCTTTGGTCAAAAGCATCACTCACCTAAGGTCATTGATTTTAACTAAGATATGACAAGGCCATGTTCCTTTAGATAGAGAGCAAGTTTTGACTCGTATGAGAATTGTTTTTTGTTTGTTCATTTTTCCTCAGTTAATCAGACCCATCTGTCAGGGTACTGTCTAAAAACTGATTTTATTATTTTATTCTACTTAAAAATCTATCATTTTTCCATCTTTGATGGTGTCTTCAAAGCCAAAACTCTTCTGCTTGGCTTCCATCTGTCCCAATTATCCCCAGCAAGTACATTATCTTACTCTCCAGCTGGACATTCTTAATTCTATGCCTTTGCTTATACACCCTCTACTGCCATCTTCCTTTTCTTCCCTCTGACTAACTGATTTTATCTATCCTCAAGGTGAAGCACATTTCAAACACCCACACAAAATTTCCTTAATGACTTCCACTTGTATTTTTTCCCATTTCTACAAAGTTGGGGTTTGCAGTGCTCAGCCATAGCATGTAATTGTAGAATCACATGTTGCAGACTAATTTTCCATGGGTGTCTTGAGAGGTATAGTATGAAGAGATGAGGAGGAGTTTAGGAAATTAAGTGAAACTGGAAATTTATCCTTGGCATAATTTAAAAACAATTTTGAAACATGGGAATATTATAATCATCTTTGTATTTTAAAAAAGATACTATCCACACAACAACCAGAATGGTTTCCAAAAGTAATTCAGATCATCTCATTTCACCATTCAACTCCATGATGGCTTTCTATCTTACTGAGGGTACAACCCAGAGCCCTTCCTAGAACTAAACAAATGTTATATTATCCAGGGGCACCTGGGTGGCTCAGCCAGTTAAGCATCCAACTTCGGTTCAGGTTATGATCTCATGGTTGGTGGGTTCAAGCCCTGCATCAGGCTCTGTGCTGATAGCTCAGAACCTGAGGCCTGTTTCAGATCTTGTGTCTCCTTCTCTCCCTGCCTCTCTCCTACTCATGCTCTGTCTCTCTATCACAAAAATAAATAAACATTAAAAATTTTTTAAATGTTATATTATCCAATTATTGCGGTTACCTCTCTAAACTCATCCCCTCTCCTCTTCCTCATTTACTCCACTCCAGCCACACTGGCCCTTTGCTGTTCCTCGAACAGGCTAGTTATTTTCCTGACTTGGGATTTCTGACTTGCTGTTCCTGCATCCGAAATGCTCAAAATATTTTTAAGCTCACTGTTTCACTTCTTTCAAGTTTCTGTTCAAATGTCACTCTCTTAGGACTACTTGGACTAGCTTATTTTCAGTGAATACACCTTCCCACACTTCCCTCTTTGAACCATTATTTTCTTTCCTCCTTACCTTGTTGTACATTTTCCAAAGTAGTTTTCAGCTTCTAACTGCTGTATAATTTACTCATTTATCATGATTACCATTGACACCTATCATTGGAATGCAAGTCCCCCAAGTGCAGGAAATACTTCCTATTTTGTTCACTATAGTATCCACATCACATACTAAGTTCTTGCATAAGACCATGGACATTGGTTAAGTTGAAAAGAAGGGGAGAGTTTGAAGGCAAAAATCATAAGAAGGAAGACAGTGAGGCCGTTATTGAGATGGAAAAGGCCTGAATAAAGCAGTGGCAATTATGCAATTAAAGAAGACAAATTATGTAAAACAATTGGACTTGGCAAGATTATGAAACACTTAAAATGTACACAGTGGAGGGAAGAAAAGGAAACTGAGGTTTTGAGCATGAGCGATAACAATAAGATACGTTGCAAATAGGGTCCACTGTGAACATGTAGGAGAGCTTGGTTCTGAGCAGTCTGACTTCTGAATGGAATAACATTCTCAACTGGACACATCCAGTAGATGGAGTAACAGTGCAGATCTATTTCTTATGAGTTATATCAAAGATGGGATTATTAACTTGAGAGTCAAACACTTATAGGTAATAATCAAAGACAAAAGGATAGATATGTCAGCTCAGATGCACTGATTGAATGTATAATTTGTACAATGACATCTCTATGATATTTTGTAACAAGTCTTTTAGAATAATGTATATTGATTATGAGTGCAAAGCAAAAGTTGAGAATGCAGTTTATCAGGGCAAAGCAATACCTTTTCCCTAACATCACACCAACTTTTATACTTCGTACCACTATATTCCAATGGTGATACTGACCATCCCTTATTTTGTTCAGAGAAATCATATCTAATGTTGATATGTATAACATACATGTATGTGTATGTATGTGTATATAAATGACATTGAAATATAAATGATTAACAAAAGGGTAAAAGGAGGATTAAAGGCATTAAAGGAGACACTTAGGGTTTAATGTAATTTAAATCTTCATGTTGTCCTCTCATATAGTTTAACTATTGTCCCCCAGCACACACAAACAGCATAATAATAGGAACAAACTCCAGTATTTGTCATCTTAAGGAATTTTTAAAACCTAAAATTGGCTTAGGACACCTGGGTGGATCAGTTGATTAAGCATCTGACTCTCGCTTTTGGCTCAGGTCATGATCTCACGGTTTTGTGAGTTCAAGCCCCACATCAAGCTGTGTGCTGTCAGTGCAGAGCCTGCTTGAGTTCTCAGTCTCTGTCTGTCTGTCTGTCTGTCTCCCTCCCTCTCTGTATGTCTCTCCCCTACTCACACTGTCTCTGTCTCTCTCAAAATAAATAAACTTAAAAATAAATAAATAAAAATGCAAATAAAATTGGCTTTAAGCACCTGTTTATTGACATGTGAGATCTTGGAATTTGGAAGGCAATCTTTTGACACTTAACCCTTGAAAGAATATAAATAGTACTATTCCATCTCTTTACAGACCTTCAGTTATATTAAGTTACTGTGTTTATGAGAATAAATGCAGGAAATTTAAATAATGGGGTTATACATTTAGAAGTGTGAATATGTTTCTATATCTACATATAGCTTTCATCTCTCACCTTTCATAATATATAATAATAAAAATCTAGCTTATCCTAGTTATAATTTTACTTTATTTTTTTAATGCTTATTTGTTTTTGAGAGACAGAAAGAGAGCACAGGCAGGGGAGGGACAGAGAGAGAGGGAGAGAAAACTCCAAGCAAGCTCTTCACTGTCAGTGCACCACAAACCCATGAACCAAGAGATCATGATCTGACTTGAAACCAAGAGTCAGAAGCTTCAGTCACTGGGTCACCCTGGGGCCCCAATTTATAATTTCATCTTATTCTTTATCTTTCACAAGTGAATACACTAATAATTTTCTGATTTAATATAAAAATTCACAAGCTCTAGCACAGTCAATAATGCAAACCTCTTATTTTCAATGGTTTCATATTTAAGGCCCTTACGTGTCTTATTAGTGTCAACATTAATAAATGCATCCATACTAATTTTGTTTTTGCAATGCTATCAAGAAATTAAAATGAAAAGAAAGTAATGAAAGTCAATTTATTCTACAAACATTTCTATAGAGATATTAACTCTACCAAAAATGAATTATGTGGTTGTACCACAAATAGCTTGAACTTCTGTTCATCAGTTGATAGATGAACACTTGATACAGAGGTCTTCATATATAATATAAAAATGGAAGGGTGCCTGAGGCTCAGTTGGTTAAGCATCCGACTTCAGCTCAGGTCTTGATCTCACAGTGTGTGGGTTCGAGCCCTGCTATGGGCTCTGTGCTGACAGCTAGCTCAGAGCTTGGAGACTGTTTTGGATTCTGTGTCTCCCTCTCTCTCTGATCCTCCCTTGTTCATGCTGTCTCTCTCTCTCTCAGAAATAAATAAAACATTAAAAATTTTTAAATGGAAGAGTGATTCAATAGATAATCATAAAGATGAATAAGACTAAAAACAAAATGAATGCCAACTGACAACAATCCAGTACTGATAGCATTCTGTGTTTATAGAACTAAGGTATCAAATGAGAAAACAATTTTTAAATTTGTTTTATTCATCTATTGGAAGGAAGATGTTGAAAGCAAGGGAATGCAGTCTATAGGATCCAAAAATGATGCCCTCTCTGAGGAGTTACTATGATTTGTGGTTGTATGTGAGCACCATGAAGAAAATTGTATGTAACTGTAGAAGCTGAATGACTGGGATAGAGTAGCAAACATGGAAGATGTGACTTAACCAACTGTAGAAAGGAAAATCGAACCTTAGAATGTATTTAGGAAAAATTTGTCTTCAAAATATAACAAATATGCAGTTTACTTCTAGCTTGATATATGTGAATTGGGTTTTATTTTAAAAAATTTAATGCTTATATTTGAGAGCGAGCAAGTGGGGGAAGGTCAGAAAGAAGGGGACAAAGGATCCGAAGTGGACTCTGTGCTCACAGCAGGGAGCCTGATGTGGGGCTGGAACTCACAAACCAGGAGACAATGACCTGAGCTGAAATCAGACACTCAACTGAGCCACCCAGGTGCCCCTATGCAGATTATGTTTTAAATATATCATTAAAAATCAGAGAGGATACCAAAGATCCTTTCAACTTGTCCTATATTGATCCTATATTGTTCCTATAAGCTACTGTTTATTCTTTTCACAGTTGGAGAATTTTACAAAGTCTAAAAGAAGAATACATAACCTTCCTAACTCAAGGAGATTCCTTGGAAGTAATTATATTAACCAATAGTATAGAGCCATGTTTATTTAGATTAAAAACGTGGTACAAGTAATTTACTTGGAAATAAACAATCTTTATGATGTTCCATCAAATTTTCTTGCAGTCTTACATATTCTAAAAATGACA